CGTAAAAACAGTGAGGGCGGAAGTGGTGTAGTGGCAAGTGGCGCGCTTACCACGCGAGCGGTCCGGGGATCAAATCCTGGGTCGTCCGGGCCAACCAAGCCTTCCATCCCTCCGGGGTCGGTTAATTGGTACCAGACTTGTCTGGGAGGATAAAAACACTGACTTGTACATCGGCTGGCCCCCGCAAGTCATTGTATAGGCCACATCGCATTCAAATGTGTACAAATGGAAGTAGAATGCGTGCCGCATCCCAAAACGGGATTGATCAATGCCGATATCATCCTTATGAATAACTGAGTGCACATGGTTCTTTAAATTCAGCACATATATTTTTCAAGTAATTTCGAGGCAGTTTTTTTCAGTGCAGTAAATCAGAAGTGAGCTTCCAAGCTCAGCGTAGCTTCCCCCATTCTTCAATTTCTTATCTAGAAGGGTGAAAGTAGCGCGGCCAAATGGGGAGCACCCCACCATACATCCTCAGTTAATTTCCACTCGAGCCAGCTAAGCCTTCTATCCTTTCGGTATAAGTTAAACTGTTATCGATCACTAATCCACTGACATGATCGGCAAGCCATACCAGTCTCACCTGTGTACCCACCACTTTTCGAGAGATTTGGGGAGGATCTTGGGGTGAAAAACCAAGCTGTGTCACTGTCTTTTGCGTCTTCTGAATTCGAACATCACAAAAATCACAAAAATGTGGGATTTCAGGTGCATCCTACAGCTGCGTTTTCCGACGCATTTGCTCTCAGAGGAGCCACTGTGGCGAAGATTGCCGTCTCTGTGGGCGCCCTTTGTGGAATGACGACCAGCTTAGTGAGTTCCTTTTGTGAATACAATGTATCCACGTTGTGCCTTATCTGAAGCATTGCTGTTCGGCAAGCAGTTTGCCAGTTATTCATAATTCAGATCTAGAGTATTTTCTTCAGGATTTTGATAGCTATCTGTATTGAAATTTTCCACAAAATTTTTCACTACATATCTGAAGAGCAAAAAATACCTATAGTTTTACTCATGAACTGATATTTTATATCATAGGTGGGTGGTATGTTCGCGCTGCCACGATGTGTATTCGCAATGGCTGAGGATGGTCTTTTGTTCAGCTCGCTAGCTGTGGTCAACGGAAAAACTCAGGTATTTCGAGCAGTGTGACCCAACATAGGACCAGCATTTCAGGGACACCCAACGGCAGTGATCACGATGGCTAGAGTACGGCACGGTTTTGACGACGTCATTGAGCGTCATAGGCGGACTGGGGCGCGCCGAGAGGAGTGCGCTAGGGACCGTCTCTTAACGTCCTTCTCACTATGAGACTCAATGACTGTCATTGGAACTGTACCGCCCTACAGCAATGCATCACTCGCTTCAAAGATCTTACTGACGATCTTGAATCACACCACACTGCGTGACGTCGACACAATGATGAACCTCTTCGACCGTTTGAAGAAAGTGATATAATCGCTGATGACTATAAAATGGTGAATCGCTTAGGTGCCCATCAACGCCGTTCTGGTATTCGGTTCGATAACGGCCTGCATTGCACTACTGTTCGACATCGAAACTCTGGTCGAATTCCTCTCCATCGGCACGCTGCTTGCATACTCAATCGTCTCAGCTTGTGTGATTATTCTTCGTTACCAACCAGCTCGATACCCGGAGGATGGCAGTTTCGATAACGGTACAGATGACATTGTTTTGGACAGTTTTTCAGTATTCGCTCTTTGAACACGTTTTGCTCACTGAAGCGTCCCTTGAGATACACAATTTCTGGTGAAAAAAATCGGCTGAGAAATCAGAGCAAACATTTCGGCCAAACGCTGAAGCAATAATCGCCCCGCACCCACCAGCATTGCAAACTTAACCTTTGAGCACTTTTGCTTTCGGATGGCAGTCATGAAGGTGTAGGTGTGGCAATTCAAAGCCTTCATTTAACATTGCAAGTATGAGGAGAGCAAGTTTCCTACTTTTCCTTTTTCGATATCTGCTTTCTACACTTTCTGCTGCGAGATTTATTATATAAACAATTTTTTTCGTTTCCCATATGTCAATTCTTTTTAAAACGCTATGTACGTCTTGGATATGAAAAAAGCACTTTAGAAATATTCAAATTATTCTTTCCAACCAATTTCTATGATAAGGACGGAACAGGGTCAACCGTCACGTTGGACAAATTTCAAAAATTTTACGACCCCCTCCCCTTCTGGAGGGCCTCGATACGACCCTCCCCCAGCTGTTACTATAGTATTTGATTCTGAGACCAGTTGACACAGCCCAACACCACCTACATTTCCTCCAAAATAGCCGTCGAGTGGGAGGGGTATATATCAACAGTGAAACGGCAAATTTTTTCTTAGCACTCACAAAGCGTAAAGCGTCACACTACGACCCCCCGTTGGTGTAGGATTGACGCTGCCTCCGACCTTGCGAATACGACCCCCCCCCCTCGTTGGACTTTGTCCAACGGACGGTTGATCCTGGGACGGAATGACTTTCCTGTGAAAATTCTTATCACATCTAGCACTAGCTTAAAAATACATTGGAAAGACCAATACGTAGTAGCTGCATAAAGAAGGAGGCCTCCAAACCTCATGATCGAAATCGGTCACACAATTCTATTGATTATTCAAATACAGTCTTCCACACCAATAATCAAGTTTTCAAGGCGGAAAAATGAAATTCACATTCCCCGGAAGTGCATATCTGGAGCAATTCGATCCCGGTCATGCGGTCCATTATGGTGTGGTGGTGATGATGATTGGCTTCACTGGATTTGGACTGTGCTTGAGTTCAGGTAATGTTTTTCCGAGGTAACACGTCTTAACTGAATTAAACTATTGCTCAAAACATTCAGGACACTTCCAAGAAATGGCTGGAATGGTGACAGCCTCATTTTTCGGCGCAGTTTCAATATTATCGTTGGTATTCATTATGGCTCACCATCAGAATTCAACTCCACTTGATTTCAAGGTGATCGCTCTACACGAGTGTAATCAAGTCTTCTAAATACATCGGTTCACATCTTACTCAATCATTTGAGCTCTGATTGGCCTCATCCAATAGGAAGACTTGAAGACAGCTGGAAGGCGGGGTGTTTTGGTGAATTCGCTGGCCATCATTGCGGAAGGGTGTGGAGAAAACGTCCAAACTACATCTCTAGCGTGCTAAGAGGTCCGCCCATCGGCCTCATCAAAAACGCTCCGCCTTCCAGCCATCGCGTCCGGTGCCTTTAAGTGCGTCGCGCCCTCGACAATTCCCTTTATAACACATGGAATTTTGCAGGTACCATTAGTACCTGTCGTACCTGCTCTGAGTCTTCTTATCAACGCCCTGATGATGCTCCACCTTGCACCGATAACCTGGCTAAGACTCGCAGTTTGGATGGCTATAGGTACTAG